ATTGTGCGATATGAACCACAGTACACAAAATGTAAGTTCTGGTCAAAACCAATTCCTAACATCAATGACTTTGCCAAATACAGGAGATGCTTCAAACACATCACTTCCCAGTGTAGATCTTCTTCAAAAGCTCAGGTTGACACCACAACATGACCAAATGCAGCAATCTCTTATTAAACCCCAAGTAGCACCAAATGCTTCTTCTGCTATTAGCCAACTGGCCACACCAGATTGTTTCAAGGAATCCCACATCAAGCAACAGGCTTTGACTGGTAAAGTCATTCATCCCTATCAGGTAGGTTATTTCGAGTTGAATACATTTCTTGTGAAATTGTTTGTAAGTCATTGCTGATAATGGCTCCCGTGTCATTATTCCATGGTCTTTGTTGTGTCTGAAAATACCATCATAATTTCTTCATTTTGAATGACGGATGCCCTTCTCTTAATCTTCTAGATCAGCCACAAGTTCAGTTAATTAACATGCTGTTTTGAGCTACAACGCTACATATCTTTGGAGTTGGGCTTTGGAAATTCTCATTAAACTTGATTCCGATTCAGTCAGTGTGTATGTATGAATGAATGAATGTACAGTGTATATATAATATGTACAGTGTATATATAATATTGGTAATACAACAAGTGTTGATGACTTGGATAAAATAAATGTGTGTGTGTATATGTGTGTCTGGTGAGATTGGCTATTTCAGAATAGTACAATATCTGCAAGAAAGAAATTGTACATAAAATTGTACTTTATTTTCATTTTAAATTTGTAGGTTACACAGCAAAATAAGGAGCCTGAAACATTTCCAAATCCTAAGGTGTTGTCAAAAGCAAACCAGGTACATATTAAAAACCAGGCATTGTAACATTGCCTTCATAGAAAAACTTCCCTCTTCAGCCTCTCTTAATTAATTAATGAGTTGAAGCTGAATATACAAAACAAACTTATTTGTCAGCTTCGGTTTTGCTGTTCTAAAGAATATCTGATTCCGTCAGACATGGAGTAAATGTTGTTACAACTTTAATATACTCTGTTGGAATAATAATATACTTTACCTGAAGTAGCAAGTTTCTTGCTACAATCAAAAATGCTCTTTGTATGCAGCTCATAAAATTGTTGCAGCTAACTACCGTATATACTCGAGTATAAGCCGAGGTTTTCAGCCCATTTTTGGGGCTGAAAAATGCCCCCCTCGGCTTATACTCGGGTCAACTAAGGAACTAAGGGGTCGACATAGACGGGAGGGGGGGGAAACAGTTCCAGAGGGAGACAGCCCAGTAGCAAGAAGCCGGCGGTCCGAGCGGAGTGGCACAGAAAACCTACCAGTCGACGTGAGAAGCTCCAGTGTTGCTGGTAAGCAAGGCTTGGCCTCCGCGGCCCGGTTCTGCTGGACCGGCTTTCACGGCTCCAGCCCGGGGACGCCAGCGGCATAGAAAGCGGTTTGGCGGCGCTGCCGTGGGC